TCAGTTTGTTCCTCTCAAGTTCTTACCCATCTAGTTCTTCCATTCTCTTTTCTCTTCTCCCCTGTGCCCTGGAAGTCCCGGTATATAAAGGGAGGCTCCTAGCTAAATTGTGTAAAGCTATTACTTAACATCCACCTCTCCTAGGTGGTGTCTCCTTGTGAAATTTACCATAAATCAGGAGACTTGCAATGTGGGCTCTTATCATTGTTAATCCACCTGGGACTAACAATGGGCAACCACCTGGGTGGTGTTTCCTGTAGTCCTTGAAAGTGGATAAGGGAGATAATCTGATTCCAGAGAAAGCCTTCTGTTAGTCCTTCTTAGGGGAAAGTCAACTGGGAAAACTATGAAGGCACACGTGATTTTCAAAACAGAAGACAGCTGATATATAACAAGCCAAGTAACACCAAAAACTCCTTGGGATTTGGCTTCCTCTGGAGGAATTCCCTGATTCCTCCAGGTAGTGACTTTGCCATAACCAACTGAGTTCTTATGATATTCCTGCGGCCCACAGCAAAAGCCTTAGGGACTACCTTCCTCAGCCTGCTGGATGATGACCAGGACTCCTGTACTGGGAGATCAGCCTGGACTTTACCAACGTTGCTCAGCTAGTCCCATCTCACCATGACTCCCTACACTCTCCCTGTGATTCCCAGACTCTGCAACACTTCACATGTTACAACTTCTGATGTGCCACCAATATCACAAGTATACACCAGGGTGTGTACGCTCACTGTGAAAGGGAAAAATAAACAGCGTGGAACATGGGGGTGATGGCAGGAGGGTGGTAGATGGACTTAGTAGATAGTTTTGAGCTTCTGGACCAAAAGTCAGTTATGGCAATGAACATGAATGAGTACAGTGCAATATTTAACAAAGGCAGAGAATGTTGTGGATAGAACATTATGCATAGAATGCCCATCATTTTTCTAGAGATAATTTAAAAATGTCTGAGCCTTCTGGAGTATGTGGAAAGAGTGGCAAAGGCTCTCATTGTACTACTGAATTGAGATCATGAAGGGGCAGACAAGGTAACCCTTTGACGTTGGGAAATGTTCTGAGTGGGCCTTTTGGAGGCCCCAATATCAAATTTGATCCAATCATTATCTGTCAGTATCAGAACTCCCAAAGTTAGATTACGCAGTGGTTTATTAACTTCAGATTTTTACATGCCCATGAGAACAGACAATAGGTACAGAGAGATACTTTATAGTACAAAGAACTTCTGAATTGAATTAGTTTGCATATATGTGCTATTTATTCAGTCTTGTGTAGATCATTTATTCTTTGTGGTGATCTTTTTTTATTTTTTCTGTTGTTGATACGATTTACAGGTAGACATTTTATTGGACTTTTGATGAATCTATAGCTCAAATCTGTACTGACATAGTAATGAAGCTTTCTGTGTACAGTCATGGAATTCTATCCTTTTATCTACTTCCTTGATTCTTTTAATTACTAATTTATAGTTTTACATACAGGTACTTGTCACATTTCTATGTTTGCCTGGCTGTTTATCCATGGTGACATATAATTCATTTGGGGTTAGTGTTTTTAATTTGCTGAATTTACTTATTTTATTTCAACTGTATGGGTGTTTTGCATCCATGTATGCATGTTCTCCATGAGTGTTTGGTGTGCACAGAAGACAGAAGAGGGCATTAGATCCTCTGCAAGAAGTTGTAGGCATGATTATGCATCACCATGTTAGATCTGGGGATGAAACATCTTCGCCAAGAGCAATATGTGGCCTTCACTGCTGAGCCATTTCTCCACTCCTAAACTTGACAGATTATCAGAATTGTGTGTGTGTGTGTGTGTGTGTGTGTGTGTGCATGCAGAATCTCACCGTGAAAACTGAGTGTTCAGAGAGTTGAGGTTTGATTAAAATTGGGTGTTTGGGCGCTGGAGATAATTCAGTAGGTATCAG